CCCCCCCCCCGCCCCCCAGGCGCTGTGAAGTTTGACGCTGTTTGCGCATAGTCACATAGTCACTTTAAGATGTTTTCTTGTTCATCTTTTTGTTTTTTTGTTTGTTGCGATTGCACCCGATTCAAGAGCCAAATGACTCACAGGGCTGTACCTAATAAAGGAAATGAAACTGAAAACTGAAAGACGCGAGGGCTCTGGAAGTACAACCAACATCGGGCGTTGATTTTCTTCTTCTTCATCATCTTCTTCTTCTTCCTATTTCTTCTTCTTCTTCCTCTTCTTCTTCCTCTTCTTCTTCCTCTTCTTAGTCTTCTTCTTCCTCTTCTTCTTCTTTATCTTCTTCTTCTCCTACTTCTTCTTCTTAGTCTTCTTCTTAGTCTTCTTCTCCTACTTCTTTTTTTTTCTCTTCTTCCTCTTCTTCTTCTTCTTCGTCTTCTTCTTCTTCTTCGTCTTCTTCGTCTTAGTCTTCTTCTTCCTCTTCTTCTTCCTCTTCTTCTTAGTTTTCTTCTTCCTCTTCTTTATCTTCTTCTTCTTAGTCTTCTTCTTCCTCCTCTTCTTCTTCTTCTTCTTCAACTTCTTCTCCTACTTCTTAGTCTTCTTCTTCTCCTACTTTTTAATCTTCTCCTTCTTCTCCTCCTACTTCTTCTCAGGCTCCCAAGTGTTGTCGACGGATGTCTAGGAGTTCGTAAAGCAGTGAGGTGGATCTATGATCCAGCACTCAATGATGCGAATCATTGCGTTTGTTATACCTGTGTTCGGTGATGATATATTTACTCGCCCTTTGCCCGTCCAAGGACTGGTGTATATTGCAGTAAATCTGAAACTTGCAAGCGAAAATCAGACCGCGACGTGATATTCATTGCATCCATTCGTGTGCAGTTTGTAAGGCCGCAGTGGCACAGACTTATTTCATTTAAAGTTTATAATCCCTTGTTCGTCATGACGTCATTTTTACTTCTATGTCTCAACAGCGTTAGAGATCGCGTGATGACGCGAGGGTTCTGCCTCTGTAGTGAGGGTTGTGAGTTGGCGCCGAGGAGGGGGGAGGAGGCGCCTCGGCCCCCCATGTGGAGTGACGTCACCCGCTAATTATTATTAATGGGGTGGGGGGGGGTGTCCAATTGAAGGACGTCACCTGTTCATGATTATTAATGAGGTCGGCTGGTCGACGTGGAGTGACGTCACGCGCGTTACACACTGACATTCTTGGGTAAATATAGTATTGTATAAGCATAGTTTTGCTGTAAACAACCCCCCCCTCCCCCCGCTCTGTCAATCCGCTCATGTACGACCATACTTCACCACGCCGGTCAATGGGGGTTGATGGCGGGCGACACCTTAGGCTTTGTATGGATCGCCTCGAGCGCACACACAACAGCAGCAGCAAACGAGGCTTCCTCACGCTGCTCTTCCACTTTCACTGTGCGTTGTTTCCCATTCACCAGTGCCACTCACTGGTATAAAGTGGCCCCATACCCTAACGCCATGGGCAGAAGCGACTTGAAGAGCACAACGCTGAATGGTGTCACTCCACTGCTGGATGAGGGCGACTCCCCCACCGCGTGTCGGCCAAAGGGCGTTTTGGGTGTGACCGCGCTGGTGCAGTGTGAGTTGGTGAGACGGGATGGTCAGGTGCGAACATCATTTGCCACTGATGTTAGCCGTGGTCGGGAATCGAGCTCAGGCCGGCGGGTTCGTAGAGAAATCTACTAACTCAACCTAACTTTTCTTTTTTTTTACATAATAGAGGTTTGTGGGTTAGATCGCGTTAATTTTAACCTGTCGATATTTTACCAGGTAAGGCCCCCCAGAAGCGAATTGGCGACAACAAACAATAGCCCAACGAAGCTTCGGCTTGCCTCGTCGACGTTCGTAGCAGTGAGCCAAATACTCCAGGCGCGTGATATTGTTTGTAAATGCGGAGGGGGGGGGGGGGGGGGGGGGTGAACCCGGAGGATGGACCGGGATTCAAATCCACGCCGGTGTTACTACGCCTGGCACGAACAAAGTGGCATCGTGAAAATGCCACGACACTTTGAATGCAGGAACCGAGATTCAAGAAATGAGTTGCGCGGAGGAATTTTTTTCAAATGCAGTAAATACCTCGATATGCGTATTATCGATGAATGAACTTTGGATGTATTACCGTTACATTTAAGAGCACACAAAAAAAGGAAATACGAAACGGCACACAGAACGTAAACAAATAATAAATAATGCTGGTTGTCGGTCTACGGTGATATATCACTGAACATTAAATTATAATAAGACATGGATTCTTGAGTGTTGCGCATCGTGATTTTTATTTTATTTGTCAGTTTGTATTATGTGTTATATTTTAACTCTGAACAGTATTATAAAACAATCTTGTTTTCAATATAAATTATCTTTGTTTACAATATGAATGGTAAGTTACGAAGTGTTTATAGCATGAAATGGTAAGTTACACAAGCTAGGGAAACATACTCAAATAGTACTAATGTTATAAGTTATTTAATATATTAAGTTTCAACGAACGAATGAAGCTCCAGGAACGCGTGGTATATCGAGGTATTACTGTATATTTTGAGATTCGAGCAAGAATACACTAAACTAAACTCTTTTGATTTTTACCAAGTAAGGCCCACTGAACTATACTATAGCTCTGTTTCAGAGGCGACCTGGCCACAAATGACAACTCAACGAAGTGGCTCATCATGCGGACAAATATCGCAGCCAACCACTCTAAACGCGTGATGTTGATTCTAAATGTGGAGGGGGTAAAACCGGAGGACCCGGAGAAAAATCAAAGCGGCCACTGGGAGAGACACACACACACAAACTCCAAATATACAGCAGCAGGCGTCAGGATCGGTATCGAACCCACGGCCTCCGGTATACCGGGCGAGGTGGTCAACATCTCCTAGCCACCGTCAACCCTGCGCCACGGATCCCAATCCAGCGCAGTCGAGGTGATGACGTCACTCGTCAGCACCCCCGTGTGAACGGACAGCGCGCGCCACCGAATTCCCCGTGGAAGTGGCGCGCCGGGCCTGAAGCGGAAACCAACCCGGGCGCACGTGTGTGGCAGTGGCAGTGGCCTCAACGTGCACATAGCCTGGCACAAGCGCCGTGGTGGCGTCACCGCCACTTAGTAGCGAATGGCGGTTGTTGTTGTTGTTGTTGTAGTGGCAGTGAAGGAAAGCACAACCTCAGATGAGTAGCCTGGTGGCGGTGTGTAATCATCGCTACAGATGAGACAAAGGCGGTCGGGCGTGGCGCTGGCCACCCACCCCCTCGTGTACCATTCCGGCTATCAAAGGTGCTCGCTAACAGCACTTGCCCCAACAGTCTATTAACGGCTACACGGGGGATCTTTGTCTTTGTCCTTGAAGTGAGACGTACGTGCATTCATTATGATGATGTTGATGTTCATAATGTACTCACCCAAGACAGAATCAGATGGTTGCGAATCCAGTGAGCTTCCCTTACGGATTCCTCCACGCACGTCGAAGACTCACACTGTTTCGTCTCATCAACCACCACGCTACATGTCACAACAACACGCTCACTCGCTCACGCACTCACCTACCCACTCACCCAGTCACCCAGTCACTCACCCACCACACTGCAGGTCACACCACTTCTCTTTCCGCTTCTATCCTCGCATTGCTCTGCTCCGGAATCCCCTCCTCCCCATCGCCGTCTCTCTCTCTCTCCCCATATCTCCCGTGACAATAACCTCGCTCGCATTGAGAAACGCGTTGACTCCCGTCGACGACAACTCTGACGGTGCGGTTTGTTGCCGACCGCTTGGCGTTTTGCCCTTCGGATCTGTGTTCAGCCACCGTGATGAAGAGAAAGCCAGGCAGGGGATTAACGCTCAGTGATTATTTTTAAATGTTTCTCGACGTCCGCGCTCTCTGCACTGCGCTGTCCGCGTTTTCTTTTTTTAGTTATTGAGCGCGTGAAAGGGAGAGCTCAATGCCGGGTGAAATCTCAAAAGTAATGGAGGGGATACGCTGAGTCAGTACGGCTACCTTAACCCCTTGCGCACAATGTCCAATGGCTGCACTTTGGCTTGTGGTGGAAATTACACATTCGCATACCGAGGACTTGTATGTTCCGTTAGAAGCACACCCGCTGTTGAAATCAGCGAACGGCAACCTATGAATGAATCTCGGTTAGCTCGGCTCAACTTGCCGTGCTCCCGCACCTCCGAATAGCACGGTTGGATACGTAATTAAGTTTAACACACACACATACACACATAATCCAATCCGCCTCTCTGCACGTTGTGTTCGGGGTCACGGCTTACAACCACGGGGAGCGCCCGGTTTGTCGCACGGCCACTGCGCGCTCAGAGAACAACCAAGGTGGCCGAACGACCACCTTGGTTATCGCAGAGTAACGCCGCGAGTATCTCTCTGTCTCTCTCTGTCTCTCTCTCTGTCTCTCTCTCTGTCTCTCTCTGTCTCTCTCTCTGTCTCTCTCTGTCTCTCTCTCTCTGTCTCTCTCTCTTCTCTCTCTCTCTGTCTCTCTCTCTGTCTCTCTGTCTCTCTCTCTGTTTCTCTCTCTGTCTCTCTCTGTCTCCCTCTCTGTCTCTCTCTGTCAATCTCTCTGTCTCTCTCTCTCTGTCTCTCTGTCTCTCTCTCTCTCTGTATCTGTCTCTCTCTCCGTCTCTGTCTCTCCCGATGCCGCAACCCCAGCGCGCGCAGAGATTTAACCAACCCGCGCTGGGCAGTCTTAATAATAACTGTTATTAACGAGTCGTTCCTCGCCTTGATTGCCGCTTCTAATTGACTGTTACCAGCGCCGCGCGGGATCTTTTTTTGTTTTGTTGGCGTGGAGGAGAGAGGGGGTAGCGGTGGTGGCGATTGCAATTCATTGCGGACGGGGGAGCGGGGTAGATTGTGAGATCGGAGAAGGAGGGGGAGGAGGGAGGAAGGAATGAGGGTTGGTCCTCTGTTCATCCTCTGCGGGTGTCTCTGCGAGTCTGTGTCTCTGTCCTCTCTCTCTCTCTCTCGCTGCTCGATCGGTGCCGCACAAGAGCAGGCGATTAACTGGAGGACTTTGCCAAAAGCGGCCGCGACAAACGGGCAGAATGAGCAGTGACTGACAAATTACGCCTCAATTTTCTGTCAAGTGCCCGGTGCACCCGCGATCGCTCGCTCTGCTCGTGTATATATATAAATACAAATTGCTCACATTCTCTGCACAAGCTGCCTGGCCCTGCGAGCTGCAAATCTCGAGTGCGGGCAGGTGTATGCGCCTGTCACACAGACACGCACACACACACACACGTATACTGTATATATAGATACGTGCCCGCCACCGACACGTGCTATCGCAGAGCGCAGACCTCATCATCGACAGTGCTTTGAACAGGGGCCATTGCCCGAAACGTCGCCAATATATTTAACTTTCAGGCCAAGGTTGAGAGTGGGGTTTTTTGTTTTTGCGCCGTTAAGTTTGCTTCGTTAACTCGCGACGCGCACATTATCTGGACGTGACCAGTCGTGCCTAGCCAGCCAGCCAGCCAGCCAGTCAAACTTTTGTTTTCTTCCCGTCGAGTTGTAAGACCGCCGTCGACAGCGGCTGGGTGATCCATTGGCGGTGGATGCGCGCGTGAGAGTTGAATGCGAGTCGTGGGCGTCCTCCGCTCGACGTCGTCGTCTTCGGCGTCGTCGACGTCGTCTTCATCGCCCGCGTCCCCGCGTGGCGAGGAGGCGCGGCATCCTCGCGGGGACTTCTCGGCACCCGGTGTCATGAGCCACGGCTCAGCGCACGACCCCCGAGACTCAATGACGCTGAGGAAGCTCAGGGTGAGGTCCGCGCGGAGCCACAGGGGCGTCATGGTGAGTTGAGCGCGACTCGCCTCGCGCCACGACTCCGGCGGGAGCCGAGTTCGACTCGCGGTCAGCGTCGGTGACGATTATCCGCACCGGTCCTGAGCCTCTCCCACACCTAGGTCGACTCAGCCTCGAATGGGCACCCGCGGTGCGGTGTGTACATTACATCGGCACTGCGGAGGCAAAGGCGGTCGGGTGTGGTGTTGGTCACCCACACGCTGACCTCGCGTGCAGCGTTGGCATTCACAGGTGCTCGCTAGCAGCACCTGCCCCAACAGTCTGTGTAGGCTACACGGGGGATCTTTGTCATGTTGTATTCGTGTGTGTGTAGTGTTTTGTTTGCATGTGCGTATTTATTTACGTACGCGAACGCATGTCCTATATACGATCGAATACATGATCCAGTGGCGAATATATCATCCAGTCCTCGGGTCTCCCGCTAGGTCGACTTAGCCTTTAACGAGTACTTGGTGCCGTGAGTAAATATCAGCAGTGGGGGAGACAAAGGCGGCCGCGCGTGGTGCTGGCCACCAATCCCGCCCCCGCAGCGCTCGCGTGCCATGCTCGACCAGATCAACTTTCTGCAACAGTTTGTTAGAGGCTATGTAGGGGGGGTGGGCAACCTTTGTGTGTTGAGTAATACGCTCGCTCGCTCAGCATAGCCTCGCTGAGTCTCACGACTCACTGAGTCTCAGGAGGCTCCTTGCCAGGTTGTACTATGCGGGGCTTTGCTTCAATTTTGGAGAGAAGAAAATACGAAATTTGACCGCTGATTGTCTGTGCTGTAATACCCATGGTGTTTACATCGGAGGATGCGACGCTGTACGACGGATTATCTAAACGTCGTCAAATCAAAGCTCGCGGCAGTCTGCACGTCACGAGATCAGCGGCGGCAGCGAAGCTGTGTGAGTGCGCGCATCATCATCATCCTAGACGTAACCCACAACGTTACATTAAATTACTAAAATAAACTATACTGTACTGAGCACGAGCGTACAGAAGTAAACTTTTAACACAAATTATACAGGGTATAAAAAACCCCATCAAAACCCTGCACGTTAATTATATGTTGTACTGTTTAACGCGAAGGCTTTCGCGACCAATATCATCCATGATACAGGTTTATTTTGGGGGTTAGATCGCGTAAATATATAAATGTGTCGTTAAACCCGCCACCACCCGACACAGACAATTAGTAAGGTTTGTCACGTAAACAGAACGTGGCCTTTGCGTTTCTATTCACACATCTGGCTGTCGCCTGATGAAGCTAGTTGTAATTACTGGCGAAACGTCGTACTCAGATTGTAAATGTTGTGGCTTTGCTCTCCAACACACCGGTTAGTGCTGTACTGGTGACGAATTGGCCACGTTCTGTTTACGTGACAACCCTTACTAGTTGGCTGTGTCGGGTGGTGGCGGGTTTAACGACACACATATATTTACGCGCACTAACCACCCCCCCCCCAAAAAAAAAACCCCCGTATCATGAATATGTTGCACTCTGCAGACCGGTACATTTCTTTACGCGCGACGCAGAGTGGTTCGTGTACACGGCAGTGGGTAGCGGAGGCGAAGGCTGAGAGGCGACGGATAACGAGGAAAGGGGCAGACGATGCTGTCAGCGACGTGAGCGTGGGGTGTGGAGGCGACGCAAATCAGACAGCGGTGTTAATAATAATGAGACGACTTAGTTGTGGAACGACGTAAAGAGGAGACGTAAGTCGGCACATCGCTGTATTTGTATACGCATATGGCTAATGGAGTGCGCTATGAATCTGGCGAAGGTGGTTCGATTCCCCAACACACCTAACATGGGTGAACGTTGGACTTCTTTTGCACCGTACGTAGCCAGCCGCGCTAATCGAAGATGCAACATCAGTGGCTAGTGACATCAAAACCAATGCTGGTAGATTCGGCCTGAAATAAAAAAAGGCCTACCTGGGGCGGTGTTTAAACATTGGGGAAACAAAGGCGGCCGTGATGGGACATACCACTCCCTCGTGCCTTTAACAGCTGCTCAGAAAACAGCACTTACCCCACAAGACATGTGAAGGCTATGCGGATGGTCTTTGTCTTTGTGTTGTTGTATTTGCGTATGTGAACGTGTTCACGTGACTGTGTAATGTACATGTACGGTATGTATGAAAGCGGTGTCTAAATCTGTCACGCGCTGTCCCTAGATCGACTCAGCCTTAAATGAGTACCTGGTACGGGTGACGTTAACACTCGCGCTGGGGAGGACAGATTCGGGGGATGCGTGCAGACTCGTGGCGACATGGCATGCCTTAATAGGTGTTCGCGAATGGGTCTTACGCACGCGCATGTGTGTGTCTACACGTGCCATTACGTGCGTTGCTATTCGCGTCTGTTTCACGTTATCGCGGATACCCCTTGCTAACGAGATGTCCCACAAATCATTTTGGGGGTTATCCGGGAGAAATTATACTCATTAAAGAGATAAATACGCGCGTGTATAAATATATCCACATACAATTATATTATCACAGCACTGACGCCTACCTCTAACCGCTGGGCTTAGCCTGGTGTTCGCGTTGGGTCAATGGTAGCGAATTGTGCGTAACTCGCGGGTGTGTCGCGCCCATGTAAACAGCAGTAACCCTGGTATCGCGAACACATTGGGTCGGCTGCCGCTACGGCTGCCACGGCTCTTCTGGACGCGACCGCCGCTCTAGATTTCGCATTCACACAGTATGTGCCTATGTGTGTATGTATGTGTATGAGCTGTATGTTGAACTTCTTTCGCACCGTACGTAGCCAACTGTGCTAATCGGAGGCGCGGGGATGCGTGGTTTGCATGGACCCTGGTGCAAGGGACTACATGGGGGGGGGGGGGGCTGTCCAACCCCCACCGTAATCGAGCGGCTGCCACCCCCCCCTATCCCATAGTTCCCTGCGCAACCTGGACAGTCGCCCCTTGCGCTGGGAGGACATCTCGTTAACGACGGAGTCGATCGAGGGTGTCCAGTGCCACGTGACGTGAGCGCGATGCGGACACGTGGCACGCGTACACGAAGGGATAAAAAAAAACAACAATCTATAAATTTTGATTTAAAGCTTTCGTGACTGCAGTAATTCATATTCTTAGTTTTTTCGGTAAAGTCACGTTGAAGGGAAACAACAAAAAAATAATGAAATATATATATATTTTTTATATATTATATTATATATTATCTTATATATTTTATAAAAAAAATTATATGATAAAATATTAAAATATATATATTTTATTATTTTGTTGTTTCCCTTCAACGTGACTTTACCTGAAAAAACTAAGAATAACAATCTATAACTTGCGCTGAAAACGTGCACACTCAGACTCAGAATATTTATTTGTAGTGGAGGAATCCGATGAGCTATAAAGTTTTATTTCACAGATGTCCAGTAAAACAAAATCACAGATGTCCAGATGTCCACTCAATCAGGGGGGGGCAGACAATGCCGAGTCAGTCACACGCAATTGATGAATACGCACAACTCACTTTTCGTTAACAACAATGTAGCATTAAAAGGGTAAACAAAATAATAGGCGACGTTTCGGCCAATGGACATGTTTCAGAGCACATACGTGGAGAGAGCAGAGGGAGCGTTCAATGAAAGTTGTAGACTGCACTTGGTACGAATTTATTAAGTAATGAAAAATTGATTACTTAATTACACGTACGGTGCTGTAGAATGATCAATGTTGTGTAAGTGTGTGATAATTACAGGAGATGCCTTGATGCATCTGTGCCGAGGTTTCCGGAGAAGTTGTAAATTGTTAGAATGTGCGCAGACACGCGACTGACTCACAATCGATGCATACCATCGCATCTCTCTGAATTCAGCTCAATCCTCCAGGAAATCGCGTCACTTATATTTGCCCCCCCCCACCCCCACTGTGAGCTCCTCCCCTCTCCCCCAACCCCGCCCCCTGTGAAAACAGACGACGCTCCGTGCAGGACGGTCGATGCACCTGTGTAGCCACTGCCTCTCATCTCTCCTGACCCTTGTCTCCCGTTTCTCCGTTACGTTCCAATCCTTTTCCCCAAAATTACCCACGTGTTCTCTTCTCTCTTCCCTTTGCCATTCGTTCATCTCCCCCCCCCCCCCCATCCATTACACCATTGACTGGATATCTGTGAAATAGAGCTTTATAGATCATCGGATTTTTCTAGTCTTAACAAAGATATTTATTGTGACTCTACTTACTCCGCTTCTTGTGGTGCGCCTGCCACGTGTACAGCAGTTGCTGGTGATTAATAGTCGCCGAGGGCGCTTGCATGGCTTTACGTCTGTCAATGTTCGCCGTGTCAAAGCACCACGAGGAATGGCGATTAACTCAATGTCTCATCGGTCAATCAGCATCACGGCTGATCAACATCGCAGTATCACCTCATTGATCGGTCTGTACCGCAGGCCGGCCGGCCTGCCGTCCATTCGGATGCTGTGGTGTAACAATGGTACCTCGGTGGTGAGATGTTAAGTACCTCGCCTGGTATACAGGAAGTCGTGGGTTCGTTCCCGACCCTAACGCCTGCTGTACATTTGGAGTTTGCGTGTCTTTCTCTCCCTGTAGTCGCGCGGATTTTTGTCCGGGTCTTTCGGTTTTTCCCTCCACATTTAGAATCAACATCACGCGTTTAGAGTATATGGCTGCAATAAATGTCCACGTGATAAGCCACTTCGCTGAGCTATCATTTGTGACCCACTCAGTGGGTCCTACCTGGTAAAATAATACAATTATTTATTTGAAGCTTTCGTGACTACAGGAATCCATACTCACGTAGGCCAGGCACAGCCGACTTTACCTAAAGAACCACAGAGTATAAAATAAGTATTGTTTAGTTTCGTACTATAATTTAAATAACGTTTATTACGAAGCGCAAGAAGGTGCTGCCGCTCCGGCGTGATGAATGGTTCGCACTGTGGACTTGCAAATCCATCCAATTTCCGGCGCGGCAGTGAAAGCAATGGCGCAGATGTATTTGTATGAAGTTCACTCGATC